GTAGTAGTAGCAGCAGGAGTAGTACTAGTAGTAGTAGTAGTAGTAGTACTAGTACTGGTACTGGTACTAGTACTAGTACTGGTACTAGTACTAGTACTAATACTAGTACTAGTACTACTACTACTACTACTACTACTACTACTTCTACTACCACCACTACTACTACTACTACTACTACTACGACTACTACTACTATCACTACTACTACTACTACTACTACTACTACTACTACTACCACTACTACCCTAGCCGCCCTAGGCCTACCCCTAGCCTGCCCCTGGTAGGGGTACGCCTTGGTAGGTCTAGAGATAGGCTAGGGGTAGTGCCATGGCTAGGCTAGGAGTAGGCTTGCAGGTACGTCTAAGGCCAGGTCCTAGCCTAGGTCTGCACTCACTAGCCTAGAGTCGGAGCTTCTGTATGTCCAAAAGCAAGATTGCCATCAATCTTGCAATCTTGGTCCATCTTGCAATCTTGGTCACTTTTCCCCACTTGGTCGCCGACTAGTTTACCTTTCAGACCAAGATTGCAGGATTGCTGGCAATCTTGCTCCTCCCAAGTGGGGCAAGTGGGCAAGAGGTGTAATAAATATAGGGGCTTTGGTAACTACCTATAATGATTTGGGGGCTCTTTATTATAAACATACTATATAGGACCCCAAAACCCTATTCTAATTATTAAGGCCCCTACAAAATTGTTTCTTCTGTTTCAACCAGAGTGGAGACCAGTGGTGGCCTGTTTTGACGATAATCTAGCGTCGGTGCCAAGCGTGATCAATGATAAAGACAGTAGTCCGAGGGAGAATACCGCTAACATCCCTAACAACAACAATAACTAATGGAAGCGCCAGCACTGATAATAGTGATATTTATCACATTTTTCAACATAGTAGTACTCATCGAGAGAGTGCGCTCGGATTCTGACTGTGTATTTTGACAGTATTCTTCAGCCCCGAATCTTCGCTGTTGCCTTGGTACTTTGTGCGAAGTCACTAGGAGTGTGTGGGATTTGCCGCCATGCCGGCCCTTTTCTTGGCAGCCCGGATTATTTGGGTCTTTATTTCGTACTCTAAACCCTAAACCCTAAACCCGTTGCGGCATTTGTTGGAGCGACTGTCAGGGCTTCTTTGTTCGAAGTCTTTATTTACGGCCCCTGAGCTTTGAAGGTTGGGTTTTCCATCAGGTCTCAGAGTTTACGACAGGTGTTTAGGGTTTTGGGTGTTGGGCTTAATGCTGTGAAATTTGGCATCTAAGATTTTGGCATCGTTGGTCCAGAAAGCTAAAGCAAACCTCCTGTGATTTAGGGTTCAGGAGCTTAAAGCGTAGCCCAAAACCCGTGCTTCGTGCGATAACAGAATCATCCCTACATAGCATTGAGCATCAATCTAGTTGCAAACCTATAGTCTCCATTGTAGTTCCTTTTTGGGGTTACCTTATAGGACCCTGAATATAAAACTGGTTAAACCAAAAAAAGGAACTACAATGGAGACTATAGGAAGTAAAGAGTTTTGGGGGCCATAGATTGGCTTTGAGACTCTGGTGGCTGCTAACAAGCGTGCGAGAGTACCTGGAGGGTCGGGGGACTTAGTAAATAGTAATTTTATAGACTTATAAGTACTATAACCCTAAACCCTAAACCCTAAACCCTAAACCCCAATTAGGGTCCCTTTTAG